GTGTTAAAACTTCGGTGCATGTTTGTTTTGTTACTTTGCATAATTCAAAAAAAAAGAAAATTCAAATTAAAGACGTGGTATTTTATTATTAATAATATTTCTTTATTATCTGTGTGTATGAATAATACTAAAAAAAATTTGTTACCGTCTGTGTGTCATTAGACAGTTTTCGAAATTTTCACAAAGTGTTTCTGCTGCTACTATAACAACATATACCACTAAAAACTGGTTTTATTTTCTCGGTATTAACAACAACAGCTAGACTCATATATAATATTTAGATGTTTGAGGGTTGTGATTTTAAAACATTCGTAGTCAGCTGTTCAGCTTTTTAATAATTAATTAATTGGTGACCAAAGAATTTTTGTTTTGAGTTGTAGGTAGGTACCTAATTTATAGAGACGTTAATTAGCTGAAATAAAAAGTTACTTACTCGTCAGCTGTTTCTTGCATTCTAGTTGAGTAGGTGGTAGGTGTTGGAGTTTCTAAGGATTGGAGTTTTGTAACGCGTATGGAGAAAGCACATTTATTTTATTTTATAGAAGGATTTTTTTCGGTCGCTAATTTATAAGCCCGATTTGTTTTTCAAACAAAAAAATGTTTTTTAATTAAATCTACCAATCAAAAAACAACACGCATTTTTATTGAACAATTCCTATTCAATATACAAAGTATTTCATTTATTTATATAAAAAGGATATTTACAATCACAAATCTAAATAGAAACAGAAAGTAGGCAAATATAATTAAAATGCTGGAGACGGGCAGCCCTAACGCATGTTTACGTACCGCGCGGCTGTAGGCATTTATTTCTATCATGCGGCCGAGTTACAATACTGTATTATAATAGTACCGTGCCCGCGTGGTCATGGGATTATTCATTATATTCGCACACTATGAAGACCGTGTACCTTCTTTTTGAAAATAATGCGGCTTGTGGACATCCTGACTTCGAGCGGGACCGCATTCCAGAGTAGTACTGCTTGAACAAAGAACGAAGAGCTCACGAAGTCGGGGATGTGTAAGGGACATAAGAGGAGCAGATTATTAACTGAGCGAAGGTTTCTGTCGTGGTTAGTGGACAGGTTATGGAAGCTAGGAGCAAAGTAGGTAGGTAATATTCTGAAAGCTGATGAAATATAAAATACATCAAATTAAATTTCAAATCAATCTAATGGATAGATTTAGAGATATGTGCGATAAAAAAAGTGACCCAGTGTTTACCCAGTTACCCTACTACGTGTATAAACGTCACTAAATTACCTACCGAATTCCATTAGTACTAATCAGACCTAACCTTCCAAACGACATTATCAATACGTAAATAGCAGATATCGCACTATAAACAAAAACGATTAGAAGTTGAGCGTCGCCTTACACGTTTCGCTTTCGTTATCGAGTACACGATAAGACGAGAATTACTGTAATTGCTAAAATGGGACACGATTTCCACTTCCTTTACCATTGCATGTAGGAGAAAATACCCAATAAACTGTTAAACCTACTTATTCTGTTCATTCAACTTTCTATCCACCTTTTTAAAAAAGATACAAATATGGGAGAACTAACATTCTGGTATTATCTTTAAAAGTCGTCATAGTATGGAATCGAATTGTAAGAACCGAATCGCGAGCAGTGAGATGCATCAGCATTTGAGCTATAGATTAGCTATAGGCAAATACTCCATTGGTCTAAAAGGTTAATAGTTGTATTTACCACGAGCTTGCAGTTCTGATTATCCTTGTTTGATCACCAACTATGCAGTCAGTATACCTATATACGGGTAAGTTAAATTAATAATAATGGAACTTGAACTGATCATTTCCAAGTTTTTACGTTTATGAAATTCCAATGAAATGAAAATATTACAACGAAATAGTTTCTAATATTATACTATTATTAGTAACAGATACTTTCGGTGGTGTTATACGCAACAAAAACAGCCATTCATGCCGTTTTGATCTCCGAGACTGGGCTCATACCACATCTTCCCTCTACGTCTTACTCTCTACCTGGGTTTGTTCTTATCCGGAATGACCGGATAGAGAGGAGGGGAGGTGGCGTGGCCATTTACCTACGCAGTGATTTTTCTTATAAAATTATTTCATCTTCCTCTTCCGCTGCGTCTGCTGAATTTATATTTCTAGAGGTTTATGTCAAGGGCGCTAAAGCAGTCTATTGTCCCCCTTCTATTGTCTATTTCACTGAATTCGAATCAACTCTTGAATCGTTGCTAGCAGAGTATGCTCATCATGTCATGATGGGTGATTTTAATACCAATCTCCTAGATCAAAAGTCCTCTCGTGCCTGGAAACTCCAACACCTTCTTGAGTCCGTTAGCATTTATGTTCTGCCACTACATGCCACTCACCACAATAATATCAGCGAGGACACTTGGCTCGACTTAATCATTACTTCCAATCCTTTCCTTGTTTTCTCTCATGGTCAACTAGACGCTCCCGGATTCTCACATCATGGCCTGATTTTCCTCTCCTACATCCTCAAACCTCCAAAACCTAAACCCAGGATTCTGTACAGGCGTTGCTTTAGACAAATCGATATCGACGATGCGTCGCGCATTGACTGGACATCCTTAATCGATTTCACTTCGATCGATGACAAGATGCACGTATTCAATGAAGCAGTGACTAAATTGTACGATACCCATGCACAAGTGAAAAAAGTTAGGTTTAAACGACCGCCGGATGGCCAGGGTATACAGACGGCACTGAGACGCCGAGATCGGGCTTTTAGGATTTATAAGAGGGACCGTGTCGAGGTTAACTAGCAACTGTATAAGTCTACGAAAAATCGGTGTAACCATGATACGGAACGCTAAACGCCGCCATATTCTTGATAACATCTCCTATTCCTCTCCTGCCGACATCTGGAAGTGCCTTGGAACTTTTGGTGTCGGCAGATCGCGACATGTAGACTTTCCACAATCCATAAGTCTTCACCACTTCCTTTACGTTGAACAGTCTATCTTCACATTCGACGACCGGATGGCGTAGTGGTTCGTGTAACCGACTGCTATTCCAAAGGTCGCGGGTTCGATTCCCGCTCAAGTCAAACATTTGTGTGCATGAACATTTAATGTTTGATTTGTTCTAGGTGTTTCTATGTATAAGAAGTATGTATTTACAAAAAAAAAGTATGTATATGTATTTATAACAGTTGTCTAGTACCCATAGTACAAGCTCTGCTTAGTTTGGGACTAGATGGTAAACTTCTCCCTCATGTATGGCACATTTCCTTCTCTGTGGCGGAGAGCGGACGTGCGCCCGTTGCCTAAAACTCCTAATCCGTCTCTTCCCACTCATTTTCGTCCTATTTCTATACTGCCCTTCCTCTCCAAAGTGCTGGAACCCTGCCTACATAAACAGTTCTCCCATTTCATTTATAGGAACAATTTACTTAGTCCTTTCCAGTTAGGGTTTCGACCAGGCCACGGGCCAGGCATGGTTTCCGCTCTTCTTAAAGTGACTGGCGACATTAAGGTGGGGATGGAGAATACTAAGGTTACTACCCGTAGTACTTGTAGATTTTTCTAACGCCTTTAATACCGTCTGTCATGAGCTCCTCCTTGCTGTCCTATCCCATTTCTCGGTCTCTCAAAAAGCACTGGGCTGGTTTTCCTCTTACCTTCGGGATCGTCAGCAGTCAGTCAGTATGGAAGATTATTTCTCTTGCTGGTATGATCTCGCAGCTGGCGTCCCTCAAGGCGGTATACTTACTTAACGGCCATTAAACATTGGTCCGATATGTTTGGCGTATCGGTGAATCCGAGCAAATGTCAGGCTATTATCATCGGGAGTAACCGTTACACTTCCACCTCTTTTCTGCAATGGTTTGGTTATTCCATACTGTAAAAGCGTGAAAGACCTCGGACTATATATTGACACGACTCTTAGTTGGCGAAAACAAGTCAGAAAGTCACAGGCTCGTTGCGGGCCCTCTATGGGCTTAAGAACTTTCTGCCAGTGAAAACTAAGATAATGCTTGTTCAGACTCTAATAATCCCTATAATCGACTATGGTGATGTGTGCTACTTTGACCTGAATGCAGATCTACTCAATAAGCTTGACCGCCTTCTCAATAATTGCATTCGATTCGTTTTTAATCTACGCAAAAATTATCACGTGTCTCGGCATCGCTCCCTTTTAAAGTGGCTTCCAATTCGCCAACGCTAAGAGACACGAGCATTAACTACCCTATATTCTTTACTCTTTTCTCCAAGTGCTCTTTCTTACTTAACTAGTCAACTTCAATATTTAGGTGCAAACCCACTCACCGCCCTGACTTCGTACATTCTACTTTTCTGGTACAATCTGATCTGTTATGGAATGCCCTCCCTCTCGAGATCAGGATGGCAAAAACTCGGTAAACCTAATAAAACCTAAATACCTGTTGCGGAAACATTTTTTAAACACCTTATCAGATCCATCTTATTTATTTTTTTACTTTCTCTGCTAGAATTTATGATGTGGATATGTATATATAATTATATGTATGTGTATTGTGTGTGTTAGTATTATTATCACTTATTGTATATGTATTATTTATTAAAAATATTCTAATGTAATTAATATAAGTACTCTGGGTATATGATATCCTATATATGCTATATTTTTCATAAAATCACATTTTTTATTTCTTTTATGCATCTACCATGTTTTAGCTCTGCATCGCCCTATGGTTGACTGGGAGAAAATGCCTACGGCAATAAGTCCGCCTTTGTCACATTTGAGCATAAAGTGTAAATAAATAAAAAATAAAAATAAAAATAAAAATATTGAGAATTTTAAGGTACTATTTGCCTATCTTTATGACAAAATCGATCCCTCAAATTTTTGTTACGTGTGTGTTGAAATAATAATTTAAAATAAAACTTTCAAAGAATTTTGAAGGACCAGGCACACAAATAATGTACGTATGTAAGTATGGTATAGTGAAAGGAGATTTTCTAAGAAATCAGTGTGATTGAATGAAATCTCCTTTCAATTAAAAAAATAAGAATGACTTACATATTTGGTGGAACTCATTCTTCTCACTCGGTTGACGGCTTTTTTCTGACCTCTTTTGTACCGATTTTCTTCAATTTTTTGGTCTTCCAACACGAACCAATCCGTCCCAGAACCACGTCTACATGCTAGATGGTCACGTTTCACGTCACGTTTAACAGTCAGAGCTTTAGCCAATTCCTTTTTGAAATCCTCACTAATCTCACTAACTTTAATCGCATTTACCACTTTAGGAGACGGTAGGTTTGTAAACGAAGAACTCTTCCGCTTCTGTTTGATCGTTAACTGCTGGGACTTAGTGTACGGTTCGCAGTCACTTAAATAATTCTCACTGAATAATTCTACCGCCTTATGAAATTCCTCAAACACATTGTCGACTGATTCAGTCTTTAATAAACTCGCAGCGTTGCCGTTACTACTCGAACCAGATGTCCAGGTAGACCCAGTTGACACTTGCGAGGATTTATGGGAATCATCACACTCTAGCTCCTTGAAACTCTTCAGATGAACGCCCTTGTTGCTGTCGTTATAAACGTTAGCTATATATTCGAGACTCTCGTTGAAACTCCATGCATCACCCATGGTGTCACTACTGCCACCAAATGACAGATTTTTCTTTAGCCCTGGCGATAACTCCTCGTCTTCCTCCTCTATGGCTCTAGGAAGAAATTCAAAACTCTTACTCCTTTTATAAATTGGTATATGCTCCTTACGTTTAGTAAACTCTTTAGTTTTGAAAAACCATGATCGTTTGTGGCTTTTATTTGATTCCTTGCTATCGAGTACCACTTCGGATTTTGATTCATGAATATCCTTCAGGTCCATTTTTTTATCAATCTCTTGTGCATGTTTTTTTTCTTTACCAAAGAAGCTGATCCTGGAGAGTCGATCTCGGAAGCTAAAAGACTTCTTCAGCGATGAAGGGCCTTCCTCGTCAGATGACGAAACCCTTTCCGATACAGGTGATTCTGGAAATAAACATGCTGATAAGATCCCTGGAGATTTGGATACTTCAAGATCCGTACACTGGTCTCTTGTTGGCCCTAGAGGCTGCGGCTTAAGTTTGTTCGGTAGATCGCCAAGTAGACCTCGCTCGATAATGTGCAAGTTGTCTGCGTTAAGTTTCCTCAACACAAGAGGTTTTCTAACAATAGGTTTCTTATCGCCGTCCATGTCTAGGACGTCATCACCGGCCCGCGGTTTATTTACGACTACCTGTTATCACTGTCACCGATATGTTGAAAACTGATAAGCGTTGATAGATATCCTTTTGGTCTAGAGTGCTATAATAATGATTGCGTTTCTAAACTGTGGAATATTAATAAAATTGCTTGCAATGCGTTATTTTTTTTCGTGAAATAAAAATACTTTCTATTGTATATGCTAACATAATTTAATATTGATAATTAGGTTACCGTGATTATTAAATCGCAATATCGAATATTCATTCTCATATCTTATCAATTGTCATTCAATTTACGAAACAAAAGGTGTTGTGATGTGTACTTAGATATGTACGTTTACATACATCGATTGTGGAGACTACAATCTACCTACATTTATATAACTAACAAGTAGAAGTACCTACTTAAATTAAAAAAATCTACTGTTGTTATAGTGTCGGTACTTTGCTTAGCGACATGGTGTCATTCTAATGTATTCTTTCCTAGTAGCTTCTCCATTACTCTCCTATAACTCTTTAAGTTATACTGCAATCTCGGACTCGTTTCCACGACCAAACTTGCGGTGTCTTTTGCCTCTCCCTGTACCTTTTCCTTATCCTTAGCCCCTTAGTCCCGTGTGAAAACAATTACATTTCAAAGAGGGTTGGCGTTTCCATGCCTGATAACAAAAACCGTTGTAATTGTTACACATTCTGTCAATCCTAAATAAAATTGAGCAAAGACAATCTTACAAATTATATTCTTATATGTATGTGTTAAAAGTTATTGTTATTAACCAAGGTATTATTAGATAAGTCCAACTGTCCAATGTATTGACGATTTATTTACGTTTAACCCAACTTTGGCAGTATTAAATCAATACGTAGCTACTTGCGGTACATAGCGACCGAATCACCATGAAGTTAGTTTCGTCTGTTACTTCACACAAGAACCTGATATTAAAACCTTTTTTTACTAACTTAAGTTTGCGTATTTTAATGTCGGTTCTATTGAAGGTTGTAACAGTGTCGTGTGTTAAATAAATTTTGAGTTTGAGTTTTTCTGGACTTCTATAATTTTGATCGAATTACGGGAGTGTTAAGAATAGTTGAGTTACAGAGGATGGTGTTGAAATTACAATTCTTGAATTTCAGATTCAAGATGTGTGCAAACTATGAATCCAGTTTATTCTAAAAGAAAGTAAAATGTTTAATATAAATTTAATCACAAATCTTTTTGTCCTGTCTTCTAAGTTTACATTTTGCATTAAAAGAAATGCTTAAATTTCGACAAAAATTTACCTACCATTCTCCAAATAAGAAAACACAGTAAACAAAATTCCATCTTGCGTATATGTTATTAATTAAAGAGCTCTTATCTTGTATTAGATTGATTTGATGCTATATTTGGATTGTAAGCTCTTTTGAACCGGTAATTACTAACCACTACTAAGTACTACGCAGCGCCTTTCCATAAATCTCTTTACGACACAAGCAGACACCATAAAACATCTACTGTGTGCCTCAAAATGATGTAACTTTATGTTATAAAAGTACCTACCTACATAATGCGTTAGCTTTTATGAATGGAATCATTTGTTATAACACTTGCCAATAAATCGTTTCTCACAATTGAAATAAGAGGAAGCTGCAATAATGGTGTTTTGTTATAAAATAATAACAGAGTCGCCGAGGCGCTCCGGGTGTGTGTCGCCGAGGAAGAAATCTCCAACGAACAACATTATTCAAAATGGTAACATAACGTTTGTTCCTGTAGATTTGACGTAGGTAGTTGATGAAGTGTAAATACGAGTTTTAAATACCTTTACCAGGTACACTTTACTTAAAATCCCAAGCAAATTACGAAATTAAAAACAAGAGATATTAGCGGCTTTAAAAATCGATTTTCAAAATACTATATTTTACTAATTACAATGTGATACATAATTTGACATTTACATAAGACTCACGTCTCACGATTGTTTGCCTTCCTAAAAGGTTTAGTATTAAATAAGGTTTCATATAGCATTCTATTATTAATTCCAATCAGTAATTGTCTATTGAGTACCAACCGTAGATACATAAATCGGAGCTTAAATCTTGTATGCATTAATTTGAGAAATGTACCTACTTAATTTTAATTTTGCATGTCTACTACGTAAAACAGTCAATGAATAAAAAGAATCTACAAGATAAACCTTGTTTCCTTTTATCAAACTTATGTACTTGACTGGGATATTCTTCTACTTACTGCGGTAACTATTGACATACTGCTTTATTGCAGTATGCAATTTGAAACTAATTCTCTTTTTTTTGTGTTTTAATAGTTTCATAGCTTTAACGCCTGTGATAAAAATAACTAAATAAAGATTGTACATAACACATTTATTATTGTTAAACTATTCTGACAGGCGTTATTGCTTATATTTCTTCATTTTGTAAACATTAGAATTCTCGAAACAGAGCTACCTGGATAAAAGTCAGCGCCAAGACCAATATTCGCACCAATTTGATTATCTCCCATCTGAGCATAAAATTAGCCAAAAAATAAATCGGTATGGCCATTTCTATAATATAAGTTGGTTTGTATAGGTGAATAAAAATTGTTTTTGAGAAAGTAGCAATACAAAATTGGACTTATAACCTATGGACTATGAACCTGATTGTCTCATTTAATTGCAGTACCGGATTCTCTGTCACTACTGCTCGGATCCCTAGAGTACGATTCAAATAGTACAGATATTTTGGACTCCATTCCTGAGAGAGAATGGAAGCTATTGGCAGCATTAGCGAGAAAAAGAGAAGAAGACGACGAACGCGAGAAGCTTGCTGATCAGTTCCGACGCATGTGGCAGAAAGAAAAGGAAGAAAGGGAAATGGTAAGCTGTTCTGTTTATTTAGTTCCTTTATATTTTATGGACTGGCCTGGCAGGAATAACAAGGCCAAGTAATTGTATTGTAATATATATTTTTTATAAAGTTAAATTCTGGAGGACTTATAAAACAGTAGAGGCACTGCTTATCACAAACAGCAGTTAACGAGAACAACTAATCTGCTGGGGAACGGGGACCGTGTAAATAAATTATTTTAATAATTTAAGAAATTCGAAACAGTCGTTCCTTTTTTGAAAGCGTATCCAACGTTGTCAATAAATCATTATAGCAGAGGAGCCCATGATGCTAAATGTGGATTTACTCAAATGTCATGTGGACCTATTGGATTTGAAAGATAAGTTAATAGAAAGCATAAAAGTAATATAATGTTTACATTTTCAGAGGTGGAAAAAGCTATTTTGGGGATATGTTATTTGGACGCCAAAAATGCTCCCATTAAAAAGTCAGACGATTTTAAAGTGACACAAGCTCGTAGCGAATTATAGAAAATGCACTGTACATTCGAAACATCGCCATTTCGAAATATTATTTTAAATATATTAGTAATATATATAGTATTTTAAATCTGACGTTTAGAGTATTTTGTTTTTATTTTTATAAAATGTGACAAATAAAGGCACGAAAAATTATGTAGACATTTAAAGAAGATTCCTTGCATTGAATGCTTTAAAATAAAAAAAATCAACGTCATGGGATTTTTTCTGGAACTTTTTGACCCTCCCACTGCTTCATACCACGCTCAAATCGACAGATTTTTTAAAATAAGACGCTCCCGCCCATGTGTAGGACCCAGGTATGGTGAAGGTACTCAACTGGGTGTAAGATTTTCATCCTATCTTAGTCTGACACGCTCGAGTAGTTTTTCCGACGACTTTTAGCTTGTACTTAAACTTGTAGTTATGGGGTTTGATAGGATAAAAGCCTATAAAGACTTTTAGTCTCAACCTAACGGGCCTAACGTCTAACGCCTAACAGGCCTAGCTTTAGGCTATGCCTATTCAAGATTCTTGGTCCAAAATCTTGCTAAGGCCTAAGCTTTTTTAAGGCTAGTCTAACAACAGTAACGCTTATTAACCCTCTGAAAGGGCTATGAAGGCTATGAAGCTTTTAGTCCTCGAGGCTGTAGCTATATAAGTAACTATGACTTACTTTTATTTTATTGTTAACTCATAGTCTCTTAAATTATCTCGATTTTTCCCAATTCTTTACTTTTCAGTGGATGTTCCTTCCATTGCTCTTTAATAATTTTCAAATTGATCCGTTTTCAATGAGTTTAATTTGAAAATGTAACAAAAAGAAACGGAACCGTGTCTAAAGATATTTGAAGTTTAATAAACTGAAAATTTCTACGTTAAAACCAAAAGTACATCCGTTGAGTCAAACAAGCTCGAAAATATGGCATTTCATATTTTATCTATATCTGATACAAGTGTTTCCAGTGAACAATCGTTTTCCGTATCAGGCAATTTGATTAATAGGAAAGGATATCGCCCGTGTAATAAAAACATCCTCCCGTGTAATAAAAAGATCCTCAATGTGAATTTCATCGTTGGTAAATTGTTTTCGTGATACTTAGTTAAAAAAAAATCCAAAAATAAATGCAATATAAAAAAAAGATTTTTTCATATGATAGCTTACTTAGACTGATTCTTAAAAATGGCTTCAGCCCTAACATAAGCCTGTTGTTCAAAAAAGACTCCAGTCGTAAAAAAAGGCCTTAAGGCTTTTATATGCTCATAGGCTTTCTTAATTGACGAGTCTTTTAAGGGTCTTTTTTATTGTCATAGCCCTAAAAAGGACCAATAGGCTTAAATTTAGGGCTAAATGCCTATGGTCCTCGGGAGCACTACGCTCGAGTAAATCCCAAAATCCCTTTTAGGGCTTCCCTACTATTAGCACTAGTTACTGCGTTATTTAATTCAGCTAGGAATAAGGAAACAGAGGTTTTTCTATACAACTGAGTTCTTACACAAATTGTTTGATATTAAGCAGTTACCGGTGCATATTAGCGATACACGTTCGTCGTAGTAACTGTGTCACTTGTGCTAAGATGCACACACAAGACGATCGTGTATCAGCGCCACTCTAGTTTGAATAATAGACTCGTTTAGACTGCAGATATTTTCCTAATATCATAAATTTTATGACAATTAGGTGGAAGCAGAAACAAATATGCAATACACGCGCTATATCACAAAGAAGCGCCGCGACGAGCAGAGCTGGCACGATTACAAACAATACCAAAAGTCGTTAGAACTGCAGCTGAAGAGACAACAGCTCCTGGACTGCATCAAAGAAAAGGAAGAGAGGAGTGCGGAAGTGCTAGCATGGATTGACGATCATAAGGTAACAATCCGGCAGATATTTGTTCGATATTAATTATGACAGAGACAAAGGTAAGGTTTAGTGCGGATTAGCAAAGAATGTAACTCTTACCAGCCGTTTTAATTCCTGATGTTTATTCTTACATCCGGCTTTCGACGTCGTAATTAAAAAAATATGTACAGTTTCATTTACAATACTTTCTATTCTAACTACTCATAGATTCATTTTAATCAATTAAGTAACTGCATGCATGTAACAGAATGCAACTGGAACTTTGACTTTATAGTGGCAGTTATTACAGGCAAACACGATGGTAGATAGAGCACTGGAAGACGAAGCTCGAGCTCTACTAGCGGCTGACAGGCGCAGCCGCATTGGCGAAGCGGAAGATTTCCGAAGAAGAGTGCAGCTCATTGACACGCAGAAAAAATCTGATGATGCTGGCAAGAGGCGGAGAGCGATGTTGAAAGATGCCTCACGGGTTACCACTCCTTTATTTTTATAATATTATTCATTGGTCATGCACAACCTAATACTTAAAGGGTTTGTTTACATTTCATAAATAATGAGACGGATAAGCTAGTTTTTAGACAAAAAGCTGCACATACGTCCATTTTAACGTCATACCTTTATTATGGGTAGATTAGAATAGAATAGAATAGAATATTTTATTTTCCAAATATGGGTAATACATAATAGGTGTTACAGTACATTGAAGCTCAACTATATTTTAACAGTGGCGTGCGAACATTTTTTGTATTAGGCTAAGAAACATGCTTTTAGACTCAATCCGCAATAATATTAATTTTAAGTCTTAACATTAGGTAATAAAAATCAGTAATGACACAATAGTAAACATCAATACAAACTCCACGATAGACATCAAGATAATATATCCATAATCATAGCACTTAAATAATTTTTTTTCCGATAAAAATTCTGTTACACTGTAGTAAGTTTTATCTACTAGAAATTTACGTAGTCTACTCTTAAACACAACTGTTCCCAAATCTGGTATGGTGGTATGATTCGGGTATGGTATCCGAAGGGAAGACATAAACGCCCGGTTTCTGAGTACTACATATAATCTTATATATAAAATTCTCGTGTCACAATGTTCGTTCCCGTACTCCTCCGAAACGGCTTGACCGATTCTCATGCAATTTTGTGTGCACATCGGGTAGGTCTGAGAATCGGCCAACATGTATTTTTCATACCCTTAAATGGTAAGGGTGACCCACCCCTAAATTTTTTTTAGGCAATGCAACGTTTGCCGGGTCAGCTAGTATACATTTACTAGAGTGAGTAGGTTCCCGTCCGCCGTAGGTACTCCATCCCCCTTCTGTAGCAAGCCTTATTTCTATTTTTTTTCTGACACGATTTGGTGTTTACAGCGTCTGGCGATCTCCAACGCCCTATCGACGTGGGAGTCGTCGCTAGTGCGACGCGAAGTGTTTGCCCTGGACACGGCGCGCCGGGCGCAGCACGCGGCCAGCGCGGCGCTGACGGACGCGCGCAGCGCTTCTCTGGCCCGAGCCAGGGACGCCAGGAAAAGACGCGCCCGGAAACTAGCCGCTGTTACACAGCAGTTAAGGGAAGCTATTCGCTCCGGACGCAGGTCGTAAGAAACGGCCTAGTTATAATTACAATTAAGTTCTGTTTTTCTGAACCCAATAGCTTTAAAATAAAGTTAAAGTTTAAGTTAAATAAGTCAAGCTCAGGTACTTGCGGTTCATTTTTATTTCATGATAGTGAAAGACACGAATATCAGTGATTTGTCCACAATAAAGTAGTATTTACACTAATAAAGTAAGTTATAAGAGTTTATTGATATTTGCTTTGTTTGTAATTTATGCATTTTGTTATATCTTAGAAAATCTAAAAAGTCCAATGTAAAGATATAGATAATGTAATAAAATAATGTAAAAATGATAATGTAAAGTATAGATAGTGCTTTGAACGTATTATTTCAGCTACGTTTTCCTGAAGTTAATCGACTACACCTGTTGTTCACTCAGAGGTACTACAAACCATGCTACCCATAAATAAATAGTTTTTCGTTGTTTTTTGAATATTTGTGTTATCGCATTGAATTAAAAGAACTTAATTTTGTTGCAAATACTTTATTTTAAGACATGATAAAATCTCATCTTATAGTGACCATATTTTATTTTTATTTTTTTCCTCAAAAGAACCCCTCGTTACGATTCCGTATTCTTAACAAGGAAACCTTATAGTTTTGCTCGCCTGTCCGTTCGCTTATCCGCCTGTCTGTTCTTAAGAGACATGGACATCGTTAGATAGGTCTTTCAAAAACATTGAGGCTGTGATGACTATTTATCGATTGAGTGATTCGTTTACAAAATGTTACGATAAAAAGCCAATTTTTCTTTATTAATTTTATAGAGGGGAGATCTAAAAGATAAGATATAGATAGTAATTTTACACATAAGAGATTGAGAAGAAAAAGCATCAAAGTTGATGTATGGTCTGCTCTGAAAATTGTACCCACTTGTAAAATTTTCAATACAATATAAAATAAAAGCGGGTAGTAGGTAATAAAGTAAGAAATCGTATACTCGTGGCAAACTATTGTCTCCTATTAGAAAACTCACAATCGATATTAAAAAAACCCACTTGCTAAGAAACCAAATACAAATAACTTATTTTTGAAACATAAATGGAAATATGAATTTGAAAACTTTCATCCAATAGATTTAAGTAGTGAATGCGCTGGTAAGCATTCCACCTCCAAGAAGCTCTTACAACTCCATTAAAGTACCCAGTTTAGAGGCTGGCGGGCCTTCAAATATGGAACATAAACGTGTCCGTTTCGACTGCTCGGCCACAGTGTCGTAGAAAAAAAAACGACAACTTCAACATTACGAAGGAATTTGTAAAATACTAACAATGAAAGTCGCAAATTCGTAGAACCAATATTCAGAAAGTTGTAGGGGTTTAACCATGGCCGCGCGGTCGAAACATGGAACAGTCTCTTAAACGGAGGTTACTAAAGGCCCTACTCTTTTTGCTAACCACTGATACGATTTGAAAGAAAATGTAGACAGTATTAATAAAGCCCTAAGGCTTGGACTTCGCGACCTACAGAACTTTAATGCAATGGCCGCGCGGTCGAAACATTGCGAACTGCGCGGCCACGCAGTTCTCTTAAACGGAGCTTAGTAGAGGTCCCATTCTTTTTGTTAACCACTGATATGATTTCGAAGAAAATGTAGACAATATGAAAAAAACCCTACGTCTTGGACTTCACGACCTACAAAACTTGAAACCATAATGCAAATTAGAAGAAGGGTGACCAAGATGGTACGTCAATCAGACATTTTCAATTTTATTAAGATAAATAGGTAAAAGTAGTATTTATACGAATACGGTGTTAATATTTTCGTATAAGTACTTCTCCATCCAATAGGGAATATACATGATTTTTTTATTTCTTAAATTAATTTTTTACATTTGGATAACATGGAAAACATAAAAATAGTAAAAAAAAATCAAAGTGAAATTTTAAACATTGAATAAATTTGAGCCGTTCAAGCGCCACCATTTAGTGCGCGCTTTTGAAGACGTCATTGGTTGTGCCCCGTGTTTGTTTACTATAGCGTTTCAGTTACCTCATGCTTATTTGCCGTTGTAATTGCTTTGCAAATTATGGAAGTAGTTAAAAAACCTTCTTACAAGTATTGTATGGTACCGAAGTGCAAAAACACTATTATTAGTACACCCGATAAAGTGGTTTTTCGTATTCCACGCGATGCGAAAGTACAAAAAAAAATGGTGAAAGATGATGAGAAGGGACAATTGATATATATGTCCCTTCAAATGTCCAATTGATATATATGGTGGATAGAAGAATAAACAACAGTTTAGCGCGGAGGCACGTTTATTACTGACTTATAAAATAATACAGTCTTTTACGAAATGCAAGTAGGTAGGTGCAGGCACGCACACATAGATATGGCTCGCGCGGCCAACAACGCACACTTGTACATACACAACAATAATGTATTTCCATTATCGGTTGTATTTTGTTGTGAAGTATTAATTTCATTATTTATGTCCAGCTTAGTGTGAATTAGCTATTAATCAGTAGAAGATTTGATCTAAGACTAACCTAACCTAGTTTACAAAAGTTCATAAAAAAATTATCTAAAGAGCTTGCTTATTCCTATTGCGGTTTTACGAAATTTTGATCATTGATAAATTATTTCAGGTTAAGGAAGAAACAGTTAATTATTTTGAATATAACGTAATGAAACAAAAAGGAGAATAATGTAATCTAGAGTTAAAAAAAGGTGTTGTTCCTCATATATTTTTGTGTCAAAAACGGAATATGCCACCAGAATGGCCGTAGTTAATAGGCAAAATTTCTCATTCAGATCTGAAACAAACAATCACTTAAATATTGAAAGAAATTTAATTATTCATGTAAATCGGAATATCGTATTTATCTATTATTTACAAAAAGTACATAAACATATACTTAAGTGAGCTTCAATAATATAATATTACTGGTAAATTATAATAATATAGACGTAAATTAGGAGTTTAGGAATAATTTTCATTACAAATGATTATGATTTGTTGTAAGTATTATTTACAAATTTGTGAAAAAAATCTATGTAATGGCCTAAAATATACCATGTAACATAATAATTACCTTGCAGCTTTTACTCTTTTGATTTCTGCGCTCGTAAAATCGAGATTTGATGCAAAATATGCTGACATCATAAATGCATCTATTTTCGGTAGATTATCGGTGACAAAACCAGTTTCTATCATCGTTCTAGATTGACTACAAATATATATACAGTTACAGAATACAGTTTTAAACAATTTTTCTAACAAACACTACGTATGAATATCGACGCCGATAAATGCAGTGATGTGCGTGACCATTTACGTCACATTTCGTTTTGACCAATGGTGACGCGTTTTGTAAGTTTGAATTTCCTCCCTTATTTTTCACTTTTTATATATATATATTTGGGTTTAAATAATAAATAAATAAAAAAGAATACCTTTTAAGTAAAATGTAAAGACAATAAAGAATCTAGACAAACTATTTAAGACAAATTTAAATTTTATGCATATTCCCTAATCACCATACTTATTCCCTCATTATGATATTATTATCATAATGAGAGCATTATGATATTATTATCATAATGAGGGATAATAGTTACCTACGTGATATAAAACGACGCTTTTGAAAATGTCTGATTGACGCACCATAAATCTTGGTCACCCTTCTTCTAAGTTGCATTTTAGGTTTTCAGTTCTGTAGTTCATGAAGTCCAAACATTATGGCTTTATTCATACTGTCTACATTTTCTTCATACTGTCTTCATTTTCTTCGTACCAGTGGTTGGCAAAAAGAATTGGACCTCTACTAAGCTCCGATTAAGAGAACTGCGTGGCCGCGCAGTTTACCATGTTTCGACCGCGCGGCCATTGCATTAAAGTTCTGTAGGTCGTGAAGTCCAGGCCTTAGGGCTTTATTAATACTGTCTACATTTTCATTCAAATCGTATGAGTGCTTAGCAAAAAGAGTAGGGCCTTTACTAACCTCCGTTTAAGAGAACTGTTCCATGTTTCGACCGCGCGGCCATGGTTAAACCCTGACAACTTTCTGAATATTGGATCTGCAAATTTGCGACTTTCATTGTTAGTATTTTACAAATCCATCCCCACTTGGTTCGACGAGTTGTTTGGTGGCAGCAGCCAGCCTCGCCCTGGCCTGCTTGTACTTGTACAACGCCGCCTCCGCCCCCCGCAGCAGAGCTGATGCTGTACTGGCACCACAGGATGAAGAAACTGCCGATGTACTGCCAATATTGCCCATTCGAGATTGAGAAATGACGTTCCAGCGAATGGCGATAGTGCCAGTTGTGGTGAAAGTAAAGTTCGCGTTCTGAAAATGAAATAAATAGACTATTGGCATTATGGTACTACCTACCATGGTACTTACTAAATACCATGGTAATTTTCAAGAAACGGGATAATTACCATGCAAGTGCCATGATCATGGATGAACTGACTTTCATCCATGATCATGGCGCTTGCATATAACCGAAACTAATTTCTGAAAGTAAACATGGTAAATATCCCGTTTATAATTACTTGTCAAGTATTAGCATTATAGTTTACAAGATGGGTGTTAAAATTTTCGCGTTTTAATAATATAAATGTTAACGGGAACTACGCGATCACGTAATAGGTATCACATGCCTTTCAATGCCCCATTGTTGCTATTGATATTGGTTGTGGGCTCCCGTTCCGCATTTAGATGAGTCTAAATGCGGAACTGCATAGTGGTCCTTCATGCGTCGAGGAAAGGTTGATTAGGTGAGCCAACCAATCTCTTTCCAGAAGCGCAGAATCCTCCGGGAGCGTTCACAGACTTCTAGGAGCGAGCCTGTATCAGGTATGATACTAGCTCCTTGAGTGGCCACTCCCTCGCATTCCAGGATTATGTGGCCGTTTGTTCAACTGCAAAGAGGTCTGTAATGGTGAATAGTTGTTGGTTGAGGGCTAGGACTATTCGAGTGTCTACTAAGACTGATCAATTTGCAAGTAACTCGTGGTGAGACTTAAGTCAGCACCAGTTTGGACTGTCTGCAGCCAGGTAACTTTTATCACCTCCAGTATTATGCTTCACGAGTACGTTGTCTAACCCAGAATTGAAGTTTTGGGAGTAAGGATTGAAGGCAGTGGCAGGAGTATGGTTGGTTGGCCCGTAGCCAAAGTTTCCGAGCCAAGTTGTTCTCGCACCATACCTATTTCGTGGTTATGTTAATGCCCGTTATCATAATTTATATGTTTTATAAAAAAAAACTAAAATACGACGTTTAAGGTACCTGGACTAAAATAGGTCATAACCCACTAGTCCTAGGACCAAATTCGCTTCAGTTTCTATAACAAATTTAAAGTCCATAAAATCACCTTTGAGTGCGGGTCAATGAGAACGTTCAAATCCTTGATGAGGTGACATCCTCCTAAAAAGAACCGCCTGCTTCTTGCCGTTACTATGTCGAGCTCCTCTGGTCTCCTACAGCTCATTGTTTTGGTGCAGTGACCAGGAACAAGTGGCAACGGTAAATAGGCGTAACCTTCAGTTCGGTGACGACCCCACCAGTCCGTGGATATAGCTTCGAAGAACAACTTGAGGGGTGGAGGATCTGAAAATTAAATAAAATTATATATTAGCTCAATAAGGTAACTGATTGAATAATATAGTAATACCAGCTATTTTGCTGCCTCAAAACATTGGTCAAAGTTAACCGCATTGAATATTTTGTACACATAATATACACATAGCCATATGTAACACTGACTACCTAACCCCGTATGCACGATGCGCATCACCCTACTGAATAAAGTCGAGTGTAGGCCATTTTATTTGCAATGCGGTATGCGGTTTCCAAGAAGTGTTTTTCAGGGACAGACCGGTTGTTGCAGTGGCGACGCTTCGGCACGGCGTGCGTCCCCACGCGATAGTATATGTCGCATGTAATGCGCTATGGCAATAATTTTTTATTACACCCTATGCGGCTAAAACGAACATGTATTAGAACATAACAGAAATTACCCTTATACAGCAGTTAACCCGAAATAAATTTTAAATGGAATGTAATGGAAATAATACCTGTTCCAGAATCAGCTTCTATAATAAGCTCCAGACTATGTCCAAATGTCCACTCTTCAGTGGAATCAATAAAATTTGCCACACTTGTATGGGTGCGGCCATGGAGAGTATCTTCGCACTGAAGTTCTTCTGGCACCTGAAACCGGAAAACACAATGTACAGATGGCATACTTAGTAGAAACTAAAGGAACTTTCTAAATGTAACATTTAACTGGGACTTAAAATTAAAACTTTGAGCATCAAATCCGTCAGTAAAAATATCTTTATTTCCTAAAATTCTTTTAAATTGTTTGTAATCATCTCTTACGTAATGACTCAATTCTTAGATCAATACACTCAATAGCGGCAGTCTGTTGCCAAAGGGTGAGGCTTATGAGACGGAATGGTAAACAAACTCACGACCACTCTTTTTAAATTACCAGTTAGATACAATGGAATTAGTAAATCTACTGCAATATAGTTTTGATGTGTGCCAGCATGTCAATTGTTAAAGGCTAAAAGGTAAAAAAAGATGAAGATAAAAACAACATAAAGAAAAAAGTTTAAAATGGAACTGAAAGTAAAACATAAATCATGGACAAAAATAATAAAACACACACATTACTCCACATTACATTTTCACTAAAGAAATAGGCCGTACTAAATTAATCCCAAGCATTCTTGCCTTCTATGTAAAATACAATCTCTATGTAGGTTGTGGGTACTATTTTATCTATTTACAAATGGGTTAATGATGCAGTTGTTGTGACGTTATGTTGACTAGGAGGAGTCAGTGGGTGCGGACCCACTGACTACTCCTTTTTTTTATGTGGATGGGGTATCCACCGGGCCGTCACCCCATCGGGGTTTGCGGCGGGTTGGTGTGTCGGAATTGGACCGACTAAAACAAAACGGTATGCCACTCTCCGCCTGTAATAGGAGGGCTACGGGAACTGCTGCTGCCCACTCGACGATGACCGGCTGGAGGGCCTCCACGGCGGCAAAACCAGCACGTGGCGCCTTAAGCCGGGACGACTAACGAACTATCGTAGCTCGACGAGCGGCCTCACGCCACTCGCGTACTTCTTAGGGCGGGGGCCGACTGCCGCTAACCCCCCGGAACTCAGTCGTCCGCCGATATACTTCGGCGAGCACTTGCGCCTCCAAATCCCACGAGGGAGTACCGGCCAACACGCACGCTACGCGCTGACCAGCTTTGGAGCAAGCTGACGGAAATGCTCGTCGAACAGCCACCTTCCGTCTAGGATCGAGCCTTCAAATAGGCCTGAACCGGTACGAGGACCGAGTTGAGTACCGAATAAAACCTAGTAAATACCGAATAAAATACACAGACGCCGTATAAATAATCTTTTATGGATTGTATTAGGCCTATAAAAATGGACTTATTGTGCCTTCCTGTAATCTTGTAATTAACTTACCTTAATATTAAATTCAATGTAAAGATTGTCCATATCAAAACCTTCAGCAGTCAATATTTCCAATGCTACGTAATACTGTCTCTTACCCGGAGGAGGCATGTGGAAGTTCCCTAAATGTTTATGTTTTCTGTCCCATCTTTTATGTAGTTTGTTCAACTAAAAGTCAAAGGAAAATTTTATATTGTAAATCCAGGAAAATCAACGAAATGGTGGGTATTAGGTATATGAAATTGGTCTAGTCTATGAATAACCAGACAACTTCATTTATTGAACAATTTTAAACTTTTAGTACCTGGTATTTTAAATACTTATTACATCACATTTAAAGGTCTCATTTTTTTTTTCAACAAAACCACTCCCTGTTTTTAGTTATCATGTCTTGGAGCTTTATATTAGGTACTAATTGCAAACTGCTGTTAAGCATTTTTTTCATTTCTTTTTACCAAGTGAGTGTTGGGCTCCTAACTGGAGCCCAACACTCAAACCCTCCATTCCTCCCCTTAGTTTGAGGAGATGGGGGGTGGGGCAACACACTTCTGATAGAGTCAGAAATAGAACAGCAGCTACACTAGAATGCCTAAGTACTAAAACTTTAATGAAAGCATAAACTGTATGTAGCTTTTTCTACCTCCAATTCTTTCCTACAACATCTTCATTACGTAATTCATTACGAAGATTACGTAATTTCTTTCCAACTGTCACTAAAATTTAACTTGCACAATAACACTATTCTTCCTCCCATCCTCCACTATGCCCATGACAGCTTTCATGATGTATGATAAACTTGAGAGAATTCAGAATTTCTGCATAAGATTCATTTTTAGCTCGGGCAAATATGATCATGTTTCCAAATTTCGTACAAAACTCAAGTGGCTCCCAATTCAGCTTCGCCGGCATACTCACATCCTCTTTTTACTATTTAATATTTTATTTAATCCTGCAACTTCTATCTACTTAAAGAAATAATTCACATTTATCCATGACACACATACACGATACTTGAGATCATTAGAAAATCTGACAATAGAAATCCCGACACACTCTACAACTTTTACTGATACATCTTTCACAGTGCAAGAAGCACGCAAAGTCAATGAGTACTTTTAAGAAACTCGTCAAGGATCACTATTTATCTTTGTAAAAACTATGTGCTATATAGACATGTGTATGTATATTCATAAGAATGTATGTAAGTGTATGAATATGTATTTGTGTATATGTATGTATGACTACATCATGTTATACTTATTAATAAATGTATACTCTAGAGGCGGATCACAAATTACATATTTACTATACAGTATAGTCCATCTAAAGGTTGCCTGTAAGGGATCGCAGACTGCGAAAAGGCCCCCCATTGTACCACTGTTTTGTACATGTGTTGCTAATCAAACTAGTTTCAAACTAAGCAGAGTTGTAGTATGAAAGCTAGATTGACTGATAAAATACTTATATATCTTTTTTTGGTAAATATACTACATATTGTAACGTTGCATTTTGCACCATTACAGAAAAGTTAATTATCGACGTGTTGTTATTTTGTAGGTTGTTTTGACAGATGATTTTTCTGACGTTTCAGTAAATCTCCGAGAGATGGCGTCACAGTCAAGATTTTTTAGGCTATTTTATTCGACTATTGTAGTGATTCTTTTTTTTTGATTTTTTGTTGCATTATTATTATTATTATGGGAGTAGGTCGTTATGGTAACTACCTTTAATTTCTTTATGTATTAAACAGTCTACGTGACTTTTCAAGTCGACTCCTTATGGGATGATCGCACCCATTGGGATTAACCACAGCTTATTTTACCTTTAGCTTGTATTATCAAGGTAACCAGATTGCATTAATGACAGAACTAATTTGAGAATAAGAATTACATTTGTAATTAGATCGATAATATTCTACTCATGTACTCTACAGACACTACGGGATAAATAAACTGCCTCTTAATCTTATAACATCTCTTTATTTTATAGCTTCTCCCCACCCTAGATTAAAAGTCTAAGCGCTGACCGAGCTATACCGGGTATTTATTGTATTTGTTATTAGTTGTCTATGTTCATTTAAGCCGGCACCTGGCGCCCGAGATTATTGGTTTTGTTAGAATTTGTGGTGCCGGACCAGTTAGTTCATTCATTTGTATTCAACATAGACATTCATTAGTTAAAAACATTTTTTTTAAATATTACAATATTATACATAGAAAGCACCCAAACTCCGAAACAAAATTGCAGATCATACAAACATTTAGTCCGGCCCGGGAATCGAACAAACACACGCAAACGCAAACAACCACGGCATCACCGAGCACCGAGAAATATCTCGCAGTCCCCGACGAACACTAGGTATGGTAATCGCTATTACGATAGAATCGGGTTTATTCGATATTCGTTATCTACACACCCTATTACAATCATTGATTTTTTTTTATGATCGGGCGATGAATACTTTTGGATTTATCCATTCAATATCTTATGTTTTTGTTCAACGTATAACATAAGTGAAAAATTTACACGATCAATAACGCAAAAACCTATTACCAAATCTCAAAAGTCAACATTTTAGAGTAAGCGGCTATTACCATATTGTTCGAGGGAAAATGACAGAATCAGAATCAGAATTTATACATAGGTACCGAAATGGTTATAACACCTAAAAATGATCATCGAATAAGCATGTAATTTATGTTTACCGTAATATTAAAGTCAGTTATATCATCGAATACGATTGCAATGTCATTTTACGAATATAAAGTATATTCATATTTACCATGGAACAATATCATAATGAACGATTACTACAGCAACACCGATTTGTGATTACAGTCGAACACTATCGTAAAGTTAGTTTGCGTTAATTTTTTCCATAGCTTATTTCAGTAATGGACATTTTCACAATTTTCTTACTGATAAAGAAAATTTATGATAAAAATTTAGTAAAAATCTAGTGCAAAAAAATATTTCTTTATTTTTGATAAAAGAATCTTCTTTTTAGTCTTGATAGTATTCAAGATATTCAGTTTTTATTTGCTCCTGTAAAATTGTTATTTTCCTATTACGATTTTGTTCGTCGGGGACTGCGATCTGCAAAATCTCAATTCATACTTCTATCCTTAACTAAAATATTAAAAGAATTTACATACCAACATTACTAGTTCTTCTCCATCCTCCAAATTGTGAAACTCAACATCAATTGCATATTGATAACCCCATTGTACCCCCGATGGAGTCTCCACCGAGTATGGGTTCAGTTCCAAATTGTTAACATCTGGCGTCATGATTAGGTAGTTTTGAGTTAAATTATGATAAAGTGATAGCAAAGTTACTTCTTGTTTGTAGATTAGTTGTGATTCTCTGAAATTATAATATTAATAGCACAGCTGCTTTCAAACCAGGCAGACTTTATGCTATTGTACCTAGACAGCTGATACTTATACTACTAAATAAATGCATATTGATAATACATATTCCGTGTCAGTGTAGTGACGGATCAAGAATATGGATCAACCCATCTGGCCAGTGTCGTATAGTAGACCAAAACCTCCTTTCTAAGGAGAGGCCAATATCCAACAGTGGACTATTAAAGGCTGTTGATGATGATGATGATGATGATGATACATATGAATCTAAGCAGTCATTACAAAGCTGTTATAGTGTGATAACATTAACGGCCTTAAACAGTCCGCTGCTGGACATAGGTTTCTTGTTAGAAAGGAGGTTTTGGCCTACTATACCACTCTGCCCAAGCGGGTTGGTAGGCAGTTTGTGTCAAGTTTTCCTTCTTTTAGAAGTGCTGTAGTCCTGTGTAGATAACATTAATGTCATACTAGCACCTAATGAAAAGATAGCTTCTAATCAAAGGTAGTCTTAAAGTACTTACTCATTATAATCAGAATTGTCAAACACAACATGCATTGCCATCCATTCAACTGGATCCATAACATTTTCATCACTACTAAACAAGTGCATTGTTGATATCATTTCACCTCCAAATACTCTGCCGATAGGATCATTCAAATTTAATTGTTCTAAATATGTTTCCAGGTTAAAAATGCCTTTTTTACTTTTTTTATCAGTATCATAAGGCAACGGTAAGTAATAATCTTCATGAACATAAGTGAATATTTTTCCTGGTGTATAATCTATATTCTTTACATTCTCATGATATTTTAGTTCATCATCTGTGATGCAATTGTGTTCATCTATATATCGCTGTACTTCCCAACGACTGAAGATTTTCTCTTGCCACTTGAAAACATATTCTTCTGTGGTGGTGTCTAGTTTAAGGGCATTAGACCCTTGAGAATAGTCCTCGAATTTGGGCAAAGATATGATTGAGTCTTGAGATTTAAGTTTAATTCTGTGAAATAAACAGCATTCACGATTTAATCGAAAAATATGTTTTATCACCTACGTACATTACAGAGGTTTTTTTTATAAACTTACTTTATTTTTAGATCACTTATACCGTGTTTTAAACAATATACTCCCGAGACCTTATTGCATCTATTAAAATCATTCATTTTGACGAAAAAATAAGCGTATGAAGATTATATGGTTTAATAACAACAATGTTTGATTCAATCACGGTTACCATGGAAACTGCCACAGACTCAGAATTGACAGAATTTTGTCATAGACAATATTCAATAGTTTATTTCTCTAGTCTTTGCCATATGGATAAAACTTCAAAACTAAAAAATTACATTAATACAAAAAAGGGAAATCGTTGTTACTTATAATATATCTAATACATCTATTGATAGGAATGATACAGCTTCAAATCAAAAGTAATGTTTAAAAAAAATTTAAAACGTGAACGCAAAGCCTCCCAAAGCTAATTTAAACGTCAGTGTTATTGGTTTGTCAGTCAGTTGCTAACGGTACAGTACGGCGTTCGTCGTCTTTGTTGAACAAAATAAACACGATTCTTTGAAAGATAATCGCGAGATAGCAAGTCCTCTTGGAGACTTTATCTTATCTCGTATTGCTGAGTGTGAATCAATCATGCTCAATCGTCAATGTGCCTTTTATATGGTTTACTTATGATGTTCTATGTAGCTTATTAATTTTTACGTTTTCATAAATTACGTGTGGTTATTCTGAGTAAAAATGCCTTCAGGACAAAGGGAGACCACTGTTTCAATGCCGCTAACTCCTTCCCGGTCAGATTTATATTGGCGGAGAATATTCGAAAAGGTATGTTTTTGTATATTTAAACACGAAATGTTGCTCTTTACAATCCACATTACTGATTAAATTTATTACCAAATATTTTAATACCTAGTTAAAATAATAGTTTAATACCTAGGAAAACTTGACACAAACCCTATACCAACCCGTCTGGCCAGCGTGGTATAGTAGGCCAAAACCTCCTTTCTAAGGAGAGGCCTATGTCCAGCAGTGGACTGTTAAAGGCTGTTGATGATGATGATGATGACCTACGAAATAGCCCTTCCATAAATGTTTTTTAAATATTTTTTGGGGTATTCTAAATGATTTAACTTGCATGCTCAAAGTTTACGTATTACTTACGCTGGCACGTAAACATCCGGTTTGTGAGTAACAGGTTTGTGTTATGTTACTTTCTTTTTCAGATTCTCATATTTTAGAAAAATTCGATAATAGGTATCTCAATTTTACACCTACAAATTTTAGTGTCATTAAAAAACTTTGCGATATTTAGTTTTAGAATTATTTCTCAATATTCCCAGTAGTAATATTAAAAAGATTTCTTATATCTAAAAGTCCTAGCTCCTTCTCCTACCCATAGAAAATATGTCTAGAAAATGACCTTTACAAAAATTATCTAACCATGGCTTAACTTTTTATTTAGCACCTACTTACAGCATACATTATGATGCTTTAGATATTAACTGTGCAACTAGACTGAAAAGAATTTAACTGTAAATAGTCATCATTTATTATTTACATATTTAAAAAAAATGTAAATTAAAAAAATTGATTCAAGTAGAAATATAAGTAATAGGTTTCTGGTCCTTGGACATAGGGTTCTCCTTAGAAAAATTTACTTTAAAAATGTGTAAAATCAAGCATTTTACAGATAAAATACAAATACAAAATATTTGTATTACAGATAGTTGTACATAACATGTTTTATATAATAAGTTTCACATAGTCCACATAAATTCATATTTTGTGAAATAGGAAATATTGGAAAAATATTAACTTGTGCAACTTAAGCCACCATTCTACATAAAACTGTAAAATAACATTTAGTAAATAATAATGAGATTATAATAAAAAAGAAAAATATACTTTATCGCCAATAAAAAAGGATTCTGCTATCCATCTCCTGGCTCCACGAAGACCTGTCATGATCACTAAATCTAAGTTATCTGTATAGTTTTTTGACACACACACACACATACGCACACACATAACCAATTCAACAATTAATTTAAGTACAACTTTAATTAAGTCCGGAATATAGTAAAAGAAAGCTATGAAAACATAAGAAGGATCAAACTTATGTTTTACAATTTTATCAACCAAAAACACCATTTGCTTGAAAAAAAAACATCTTCTTTTACATGTGGAAACCCCCTCGGGCCGTCACCCCACCGGGGTTTTGCGGCGGGGTGGTGCGTCGCAATCGGACCGACTAAAACCACACCGTGTGCAAGTCTCTTTTTTTTTCAAAAACATCTAGACAATCTTCTACTAGATGTCTTATTTTTTAAACATAAATATGCAATGGTTTCATGTTGTATAAGTAGTCATGTAAAGATAGCTACACAAGATTTTTCAAGTTGCACTAACCAATTAATCATATGATGCATAATCAGGTAATAGGTATTAAATAGCTTTAAACTGCCTGATATTACAATCGGTTCCATTGGTGGTACCTGCTGCCTCCTGACTGATACTTAACCACATTTGCCATTTTGTCTTCCTTCAGCTTATCCCGGGTCCAAATGCTACTAACTTGTAAGGGTGAGCCATGTGGTTTTAGTCGTTTGAATCTGACATACCTACCTCTTCACCCTTGGCTCCGGTGGGGGTTTCCGGCAACTAAAAAAATCTTTACAATGACAGTGCTTTATACATACACACCAAATAAGTAACATGATTTTGGTTACAAATGGGTAATTTAAATACAAGAAAATATTTAAAACTAGCTGTGCCTTCCTCAGTTGCGCAGCTAGCAACGTCAATATTTTTTGCGCCGAAACCTACTGGTTTTTAATAAAAGTAAGTTATACCGTATTATATCTTATTATTATATTATTACCATAATAAGGTATATAAGTCCTGTGAAAATTGTTCAACAATTTCTCAGATAAAACTTTAAAATGTTTGTAGTGCAAACATATCTATGAATTTAATAAAATCTTTATTTTGACATACAAGCAGACACGTTAAGTTTATTTATTTGTATTATGGTTGAAATTTCCATGATTAAACATTGTGTACCTACAATGTATGTACCTACACTCTTCATTAACCTGTAAAAACTTTTCATTACTCTGTATTGGTGCAGCTAATAATATTGGCAAAGATTCAAAGTATTACTATTTATGCGTGCTGATATGATATCTACAAACACTACTCGTTATTTACAACTAGTATTTCCCCATAGCTATACCTATAGGTGTGTCCAATTGAGTATAAATAAAACATCTTGTTATGTCAGAAATAGTGTAAGATGTTTACAGTACAGCTATAAAGGTGAAGGAGTCGATTGCTCTGTTATTAATGTTAACTTATCTCTCGAAACGTTCTTCAAATAGCTAAATTCAAGTGAATTTTGACACATTGCACTCTACTGGACCATCTTGTAAAAATCTATAGGGGCTGCCTGGCGCATCAGTACATCCCCTTGAAATGGAGAGAAGTTAAAGTAGTCTTCATCCCCAAACCTGGTAAAGGCGACTACACACAACCCAAATCACACCGACCTATAAGTCTCACATCTTTCCTACTAAAGGTTCTCGAGAGGCTAATAGATAGGGAAATCAGGGAAACTGCGTTAGTCAGTCACCCTCTACACCTCAATCAACACGCATACTCGATGGGTAAATCAACAGAATCTGCCCTACATCGAGTTCTTTCATATATAGAAGACAATCTAAATCACAAAAGGTCAACACTGGCCACCTTTATCGATATCGAGGGAGCCTTTGACAAGACCAACTTCACCAGCATTAGCCAAGCTCTGTCTAGGCATGGTGTTGATTCCACAATCTCAGGGTGGATCGACAGCATGCTAAGATATAGAGCTATACAATTCACTGTGAGCGAAGTGACTAGAGGAGTGGTGGCTAGAGGCTGCCCCCAGGGCGGTGTACTCTCCCCCCTTCTATGGAACATTGTTGTGGATGAGCTCATCACACAACTTAATGACCAAAGATTCCTCACAATAGGCTATGCAGACGATCTTACTATTCTCATCAGCGGTCCTTTTGAGAGCATTACATGCGATCAAATGAGACTTGCACTGAAGATCGTGGAACAATGGTGCGTAGCACACAACCTGACAGTGAACCCATCCAAAACAGAGATGATCATGTTCACAAACAAACGCAGCCTAGGAAATCTCAGACTTCCCAAGCTATTTGGAACACAACTTACTCTTACCAAAGAGGTCAAATACCTAGGAGTAATACTGGACAGTAAACTCCTGTGGAACAAGCACCTCGATGAAAAACTGAATAAAGCCTGCATTATTTTCTGCCAATGCAAGCGGCTACTCGGCAAAAGCTGGGGACTATCACCCAAAATTACTTTATGGCTATACAGAACAGTCATAAGACCAATAATCACGTACGGTGCTGTTGTCTGGTGGCAGAGAACAGAGCTAAGCACTGTCATAAACAAACTGCAGCAATTCCAGCGACTCCCATGCTCCGCGGTCACTGGCTGTATGCGCACAACGCCTACTGCCGCACTGGAGGTGGCTCTTGGTCTGCCACCCCTGGATCTATTCATACAGCAGGAGGCCGCCATGGCGATCATTAGACTCAAACACCTGGGTCTATGGCACAAACGTGGGGGATCGCACTCTAAATTATGGGATCAATTGGTGGAATACGAACCACTGATAGCAGCGCCATGCGATAGAATCCCAAAACACCATATCTTCACAAGAAGATACTACATCCAGATACATGGAAATGACCGAGATCAATCCGGCATTAGCGAAGTCCGAATTTACACGGACGGTTCCAAGACTAGGTCAGGAACTGGAGCCGGAGTTTTCTCGCAAGACCTAAACATAAACATATCACTAGCGTTAGGCCAACACAGTTCCATATTTCAATGTGAATGTGTGGCAATAACTTACGCTGCCACAACGGCCATGTCAAGGGGTATTAAGGACTACAATATCCGAATAATATCCGACAGCATGGCCGTCTTAAAGGCATTGGAGGGCAACACAATGACCTCTGGTATTGTCTTCGAATGCCACCAAGCACTGGAACAGCTCGCTATATTCAATGGGGTAATCCTCCAATGGATTAAAGGGCACAGTAACTCACACGGGAACGATGCCGCAGATGAGTTGGCAAGGAGGGGCTCGGCAACCCCAACCTCTGGCCCAACCCCACTCCTGCCCATATCGTTTAACCAAATACGATGCTGGGTCAGGCAACGGACCTGTGAAGCACACAACCGGAGGTGGAAAAACTCACCCGGCTGCAGACAGTCCAAACTGGTGCTGAATCAAGTCACACCACGACTCACCTGCAGACTGATCAGTCTTAGCAGACCGGAAATCAGAATGGTTGTCGGAACTATTACAGGACATCTAGCCCTGAACCGACAACTATTCATAATCAATGCGACGGACAGTCCCCTGTGCAGGGGATGTCTGGAAGCTGAAGAAACGGCCGTCCACGTAGTCCAGGAATGCGAGGGAGTGGCCACACAACGGGCAAGTATCATTCCTGATACAAAGTCGCTCCTAGAAGCCTGTGAACGCCCCAGGAAGCTTCTGCGCTTCTGGAAGGAGCTTGGCTGGCTCACCTGGTCAACCAATCCTCGACGCATAAAGGACCACTCTGAGTCTAAATGCGGAAACCGAAGCCCACAACCAATACATTGCACTCTCTGTTACTTACCAGGGTACTTACCTAGATACATGTTTTACTAAAATAATAATGGTGAATATAAATAAATATGAAAAGATGTAATAGTATGAATACCCTAATAGAACCTTTAAGGAATTTATGAAT